TGCTCCAGGCCAGCTGTGGAGGGGGACTAGTTAGACCAGTCTGCTCCGGCCATCGTGGAGGGGGACTAGTTAGGACCAGTCGCTCCAGGCCAGGGGAGGGGGACTAGTTAGACCAGTCTGCTCCAGGCCAGTGTGGAGGGGGACTAGTTAGACCATCTGCTCCAGGCCAGTGTGGAGGGGGACTAGTTAGACCAGTCTGCTCCAGGCCAGTGTGGAGGGGGACTAGTTAGACCAGTCTGCTCCAGGCCAGTGTGGAGGGGACTAGTTGACCAGTCTGCTCCAGCCATGTGAGGGCTATGCTTAGACCAGGCTCTTGCTCAGCGCCAGTGTTGCAGAGGGGCTAGTTAGACCAGTCAGTGCTCCAGGCCAGTGTGGAGGGGGACTAGTTGACCAGTCTGCTCCATGCCAGGTGAGGGACTAGCTCTGCCAGTCTGCTCCTGCCTGTGAGGTGGCCTAGTCTGCCAGTCTGCTCTCCGCCGTGCAGGGTCGCCCTGTCTGCCAGTCGCTCTCTCGCCAGTGTGGGGCTATTAGCCCAGTCTGCTCCAGGCTCAGTGTGGGACTGTTCAGTCAGTCTGCTCGCCTCTGCCTCAGTCAGTCTCGCCCTCTCATGCCTCATGTCATGCCCAGTCTCTCATGCCTCAGTCAGTGAGTGCTCTCAGTCTAGCTCCTCTCATTCGTCGGCTCTCTGCCTCAGTGCAGTCTCGCTCTCCAGTCGCCTCCATCCAGTTCCGCTCTCTCTTGCCTCAGTCAGCTCCATCTCTCTCTGCCTCAGTCAGTCTCGCTCTCTGCCTCAGTCAGTCTCGCTCTCTGCTCATCAGTCCGCTCTCTGCCTCAGTCAGTCTCGCTCTCTGCCTCATCAGTTCGCTCTCTCGCCTCAGTCAGTCGCTCTCTCTGCCTCAGTTCCCTTCGTCCGCGCTCTCTCTGCCTCGTCACGCTCCTGCCGTCGCCTCTCTGCCTCAGTCAGTCTCGCTCTCTGCCTCAGTCAGTTCGCTCTCTCTGCCTCAGTCAGCTCGCTCTCTCTGCCTCGTCAGTCTCCTCTCTGCCTCAGTCAGTTCGCCTCTCTGCCTCAGTCAGTCCGCTCTCTGCCTCAGTCGTCTCGCTCTCCTCTGCCTCAGTCAGTCTCGCTCTCTCTGCCTCAGTCAGTCGCTCTCTCTGCCTCAGTCAGTCTCGCTCTCTGCCTCAGTCAGTCTCGCTCTCTGCCTCAGTCAGTCTCGCTCTCTCTGCCTCAGTCAGTCGCGCTCTCTGCCTCAGTCAGTCTCGCTCTCTGCCTCAGTCAGTCTCGCTCTCTGCCTCAGTCAGTCTCGCTCTCTGCCTCAGTCAGTCGCTCTCTCTGCCTCAGTCAGTCGCTCTCTCTGCCTCAGTCAGTCGCTCTCTCTGCCTCAGTCAGTCGCGCTCTCTGCCTCAGTCAGTCGCGCTCTCTGCCTCAGTCAGTCGCGCTCTCTGCCTCAGTCAGTCGCTCTCTCTGCCTCAGTCAGTCTCGCTCTCTGCCTCAGTCAGTCGCTCTCTCTGCCTCAGTCAGTCGCTCTCTCTGCCTCAGTCAGTCGCTCTCTCTGCCTCAGTCAGTCGCTCTCTCTGCCTCAGTCTCGCTCTCTCTGCCTCAGTCTCGCTCTCTCTGCCTCAGTCTCGCTCTCTGCCTCAGTCTACCGGGCTATAGAGAGAGGGGTGAGGAGAGAAGGTGAGGTGTGCGAACTTACCTTGGTAAGGTGAGAAGTGTGGCGACTTGCTGGCTGCTGAGTAGTATTCCACTGCTTTCTTAAAGCGGACAACTTTGTCATCAGTCCTGGACTGGAATCAGGAACAGCCATGTTACTCAATCAAAAGCAATAAATCAACACAAAAGGTTTTTAAAAAGTCCTGATATCTCGGCACTCCGGTAATGTACCTGTGAATGCTTGAAGACCCTGCTAGGTGATGCATGTACCTCAATATAGCTATGTCAGGTGTTCTGTACCTGTGTCTGGAGATGTCTGTGAGTACATGTGAATGTCTGGAGATGTCTGTGAGTACTTGTGAATGTCTGAAGATGTCTGTGAGTACCTGTGAATGTCTGAAGATGTCTGTGAGTACCTGTGAATGTCTGAAGATGTCTGTGAGTACCTGTGAGTGTCTGAAGATGTCTGTGTGTACCTGTGTGTGTCTGAAGATGTCTGTGTGTACCTGTGAGTGTCTGAAGATGTCTGTGTGTACCTGTGTGTGTCTGAAGATGTCTGTGTGTACCTGTGTGTGTCTGAAGATGTCTGTGAGTACCTGTGTGTGTCTGAAGATGTCTGTGAGTACCTGTGTGTGTCTGAAGATGTCTGTGTGTACCTGTGAGTGTCTGAAGATGTCGTTAGCGATGGCCTCCAGGTCGCAGAAGTCCGTCATGTTTCGAACATAGTCAGCCACTGCCTTAATCACCACGTCACACGGCGGAAGCACTAGCTGGTGGGCGCGCACCTAGAAAACAAACAAACAACGCGCAGACAAACCAAGAAATATGTGAAGATTACATTCAACTCTCCCTCTCTCTGGCTGCATGTTTCACCAAACACAACCACCCGCCATCCTAAAGCACAACACAACCACCCGCCATCCTAAAGCCCAACACAACCACCCGCCATCCTAAAGCCCAACACAACCACCCGCCATCCTAAAGCCCAACACAACCACCCGCCATCCTAAAGCACAACACAACCACCCGCCATCCTAAAGCCAAACACAACCACCCGCCATCCTAAAGCCCAACACAACCACCCGCCATCCTAAAGCACAACACAACCACCCGCCATCCTAAAGCACAACACAACCACCCGCCATCCTAAAGCCCAACACAACCACCCGCCATCCTAAAGCACAACACAACCACCCGCCATCCTAAAGCACAACACAACCACCCGCCATCCTAAAGCCCAACACAACCACCCGCCATCCTAAAGCACAACACAACCACCCGCCATCCTAAAGCCCAACACAACCACCCGCCATCCTAAAGCACAACACAACCACCCGCCATCCTAAAGCCCAACACAACCACCCGCCATCCTAAAGCACAACACAACCACCCGCCATCCTAAAGCACAACACAACCACCCGCCATCCTAAAGCACAACACAACCACCCGCCATCCTAAAGCCCAACACAACCACCCGCCATCCTAAAGCCCAACACAACCACCCGCCATCCTAAAGCCCAACACAACCACCCGCCATCCTAAAGCACAACACAACCACCCGCCATCCTAAAGCACAACACAACCACCCGCCATCCTAAAGCACAACACAACCACCCGCCATCCTAAAGCACAGGGCAAAGTGCTCTTCAATATCATTTCAGCAATTTGATCTTTCCTAGTTGAGGAGGACTGCAGCGAAGTACCGACTAAAGTTTCAGGACAAATCTTACTAGTTGCCAAGGACAAATTATGCAGCACACTATTGAGATGGATGAATATAACCTTGGTTTTCAGATGGAATTTGTGAGATTTGAAGTTCAATAGGGTAGTTGACATGATGCCCCTTTTTTTTTAGGGAGATAGTGTCGTAAAATAACAATACAGTCCCTGTTATTGGAATAAGTACACTTCAAATCCTTTAAATGAGGATCGATTACTGATGTTTAAAAAGCATTTTTACAGTGGTCAGAAACTTCTGAAAGTGTCATTAGTTCTGTTTTAACAGTCACATTTGACTGCCTGTTGTGTATTATCCATCGGGGTGACATAACGTCCATCGGGGTGACATAACGTCCATCGGGGTGACATAACGTCCATCGGGGTGACATAACGTCCATCGGGGTGACGCCAATAAATGAAAGAGAAAAAAGGTGTCTTGGGACAAAATATAAAAACATTATATCACTATACAAGTAAGATAATTGCTTTTTATCTGGTTTAGTGAAATGTGAGTTATACCCAAAATGTAATAGCGAGACACTTGGTTATCATCATTATACAAAGAAATTGTGTTTCTCATTTTGAAATGCCAGAATTACTGATTTAAAGACCGAAGTAACTAAACAGAGGAAAAAATCATGTTCTTGTCTATTTGGGAATCATTAAATCTTTATATTAACATGAATTGTGATGTCACACCAGAGGGCAAATTCAAGGCACTAAAATGCATGAAATGCATAATTAAATAGGATATAAACTGAAAATTGAAGGTGGCCAAATGACATTGAGTTGTTTAGACATAGTTTATTGCAACTATTGTAAATGCTTTTTATACTTTACGTTTAGATTGTTTTTTTTTTGTGCTTTTGTTTTGGTCACGTCAACTAGCCAGTTTGAACAGATACCAACCAACAGACATCATTTCAGCTGCTACTGGGACTAACGTCACGTCAACTAGCCAGTTTGAACAGATACCAACCAACAGACATCATTTCAGCTGCTACTGGGACTAACAAATTCCCTGGCACTACATTTGACTGTGAAGTTAGTTTACCTTGAGCGATGCTAGTGGATGCTCTGGACCCAGGAGACTCCAGTGAAAGGCAGCCAAGTCTTCATCAGGCAGTATGTGGTTACCTAAAGCAGAACAGTTGCATGACACCACGAGGCTAACAGAATTAGCACTGACAGTAAATCTCTACGTTAGCGATCAATAGGCTTGATATCAGTCTGGCAAACCGACCCATAAGTTACCTACCTTCTTAGAAGTGATGTTACCAACCCACCTAAAAGTTAGTTAGCAACCTCCCAACATGTTAGCTCTGTTACCAACCCACCTAAATGTTAGTTAGCAACCTCCCAACATGTTAGCTCTGTTACCAACCCACCTAAATGTTAGTTAGCAACCTCCCAACATGTTAGCTCTGTTACCAACCCACCTAAATGTTAGTTAGCAACCTCCATACATGTTAGCTCTGTTACCAACCCACCTAAATGTTAGTTAGCAACCTCCATACATGTTAGCTCTGTTACCAACCCACCTAAATGTTAGTTAGCGACCTCCCAACATGTTAGCTCTGTTACCAACCCACCTAAAAGTTAGTTAGCAACCTCCCAACATGTTAGCTCTGTTACCAACCCACCTAAATGTTAGTTAGCAACCTCCATACATGTTAGCTCTGTTACCAACCCACCTAAATGTTAGTTAGCAACCTCCATACATGTTAGCTCTGTTACCAACCCACCTAAATGTTAGTTAGCGACCTCCCAACATGTTAGCTCTGTTACCAACCCACCTAAAAGTTAGTTAGCAACCTCCCAACATGTTAGCTCTGTTACCAACCCACCTAAATGTTAGTTAGCAACCTCCATACATGTTAGCTCTGTTACCAACCCACCTAAATGTTAGTTAGCAACCTCCATACATGTTAGCTCTGTTACCAACCCACCTAAATGTTAGTTAGCAACCTCCATACATGTTAGCTCTGTTACCAACCCACCTAAAAGTTAGTTAGCAACCTCCATACATGTTAGCTCTGTTACCAACCCACCTAAATGTTAGTTAGCAACCTCCATACATGTTAGCTCTGTTACCAACCCACCTAAATGTTAGTTAGCAACCTCCATACATGTTAGCTCTGTTACCAACCCACCTAAATGTTAGTTAGCAACCTCCATACATGTTAGCTCTGTTACCAACCCACCTAAAAGAGAAGCGAAGATGGCGAAGCGCTTGGGGTTGAGGTCCAGCTGTTTGGCCACTTCATGCATCAGGTACTGGGAGGTGGTCAGGCTCTTCCCGTTGCGACTCAGCTTCAGGGCGTGGGCAGAGAAGTAGTAGGGGATGTTACAGAGCGCGTAGTCCGAGTCGTACGCCACCAGGCCGTGGAACCCGTTCTCCCTGCACAGAGATATCACCTCCAAGTGGTGGTCCTCGATACTCTGGACGACCTGGAGACAAACACATTATGCTGTTACTAACAGCGCACCCTAACCATGCATAGAGACAAACACTCACAGGGATCCCAGTTAAAATGAGCGACAGTAAACACAAGCACTGAATACTAATATATAATAATATATGCCATTTGGCAGACGGTTTTATCCAAGGTGACTTGCATTAGGCTATATCCATGAGCAATGGTCCGACTACAGTCGTGCATTCATTTTACATGAGTGCGTACATTTTACGTACGGGTGGTCCCGGGAATTGAACCCATTATCCTGGAGTTGCAAGCGCTATGCTCTACCAACCGAGCTACAGAGGACCACATACTGACATACAGTGGGGGGAAAAAAGTATTTAGTCAGCCACCAATTGTGCAAGTTCTCCCACTTAAAAAGATGAGAGAGGCCAGTAATTTTCATCATAGGTACACGTCAACTATGACAGACAAAATGAGATTTTTTTCTCTCCAGAAAATCACATTGTATGATTTTTAATGAATTTATTTGCAAATTATGGTGGAAAATAAGTATTTGGTCACCTACAAACAAGCAAGATTTCTGGCTCTCACAGACCTGTAACTTCTTCTTTAAGAGGCTCCTCTGTCCTCCACTCGTTACCTGTATTAATGGCACCTGTTTGAACTTGTTATCAGTATAAAAGACACCTGTCCACAACCTCAAACAGTCACACTCCAAACTCCACTATGGCCAAGACCAAAGAGCTGTCAAAGGACACCAGAAACAAAATTGTAGACCTGCACCAGGCTGGGAAGACTGAATCTGCAATAGGTAAGCAGCTTGGTTTGAAGAAATCAACTGTGGGAGCAATTATTAGGAAATGGAAGACATACAAGACCACTGATAATCTCCCTCGATCTGGGGCTCCACGCAAGGACTGCTACCTCCGCCTTTGTGCAAGGAGGAGCACTGCCAGAGCCCTGCAAAATGACCTCCAGCAGGCCACAAATGTGCATGTGTCTGCTCAAACGGTCAGAAACAGACTCCATGAGGGTGGTATACACCATGCAGGACGTTTGGCATTTGCCAGAGAACACCAAGATTGGCAAATTCGCCACTGGCGCCCTGTGCTCTTCACAGATGAAAGCAGGTTCACACTGAGCACATGTGACAGACATGACAGAGTCTGGAGACGCCGTGGAGAACGTTCTGCTGCCTGCAACATCCTCCAGCATGACCGGTTTGGCGGTGGGTCAGTCATGGTGTGGGGTGGCATTTCTTTGGGGGGCCGCACAGCCCTCCATGTGCTCGCCAGAGGTAGCCTGACTGCCATTAGGTACCGAGATGAGATCCTCAGACCCCTTGTGAGACCATATGCTGGTGCGGTTGGCCCTGGGTTCCTCCTAATGCAAGACAATGCTAGACCTCATGTGGCTGGAGTGTGTCAGCAGTTCCTGCAAGAGGAAGGCGTTGATGCTATGGACTGGCCCGCCCGTTCCCCAGCCCTGAATCCAATTGAGCACATCTGGGACATCATGTCTCGCTCCATCCACCAACGCCACGTTGCACCACAGACTGTCCAGGAGTTGGCGGATGCTTTAGTCCAGGTCTGGGAGGAGATCCCTCAGGAGACCATCCGCCACCTCATCAGGAGCATGCCCAGGTGTTGTAGGGAGGTCATACAGGCACGTGGAGGCCACACACACTACTGAGCCTCATTTTGACTTGTTTTAAGGACATTACATCAAAGTTGGATCAGCCTGTGGTTTTCCACTTTAATTTTGAGGGTGACTCCAAATCCAGACCTCCATGGGTTGATAAATTTGATTTCCATTGATAATTTTTGTGTGATTTTGTTGTCAGCACATTCAACTATGTAAAGAAAAAAGTATTTAATAAGATTATTTCATTCATTCAGATCTAGGATGTGTTATTTTAGTGTTCCCTTTATCTTTTTGAGCAGTGTATAAATTCCAGTCATACTTGATCAAAGGCCTTTTCAAAGTCATCTATGAATACCAAGCTGGTTTCCCAGATTTTTCATAGTGTTCTATTGTTTCTAGTACTTATCTTGTAAAAAACCTGTCTGATTAGAATGAATAACATCCGACAATACCTTTTTAATTCTATGCGCTATGCATTTTGCTAGGATTTTGTCATCACAACACTGAAGTGTAAAGGGTCTCCAGTTTTTTTTAGGTGGACTGGATCTTTATATTTACCACCTGGGTCCTGTTTCAGTAACAGTGAAATCAGACCTTCTTGCTGAGTATCTGATAGTCTACCATTTTTATAGGGGCGGTTAAAACATGTTAATAACGGACCTGAGTACATCGACAAATATTTGATATACCTCAACTGGTATGCCATCCAGCCCTGGAATTTTCCTGGACTTGAAGGCTTTAATTGCATCTAGAAGTAACCCCTCTGTAATTAGGCCTTCACATGAGTCTTTCTGTGTAGACTATTAATATAATAAAATCCTTACAATTTAGTTAATTTTACATTATCAATAGAAAAAAAATCTCTACAATTAACTTCAGTTAGTGGAAATGGAGGAGACAAATGAAAACATATGCTTAAAGTACTTTGCTACCTCTTTCAAAATATTGTTTGGTGAATCATGGATGATGCCGTCATTTGTAACAAGTTACTGTAAAAAAAAAAAAATTGGGTTGAAAATGACAAAATAATTTGGTGCATTTTTTCCCCCATATTCCATCCAGTTTGCTTTATTTTTATAATATATTACACTTGATCTTTCTTGAATAAGTTCCTCCATTTCTTTTTGTTTTTACTCTAACGTATTCTGTGCCTCTATGTTACAGTTTTTATTGCTATCTATCTGTACTGTTAGACTTTCTATTTCCTTTAAGATTAACTATTTTGACGTAAATTGCTTTTGTTTTAAAGATGAGTATTGAATTCCAAAGCCTCTAAAGGCACATTTAAAAGTGTCCCATACAATAAGGGGATATGCTGTACCTATGTTATGTAGGGAAACGTCAGTTAAAAATGATTCTGTCCTGGTTAAAAACAAGTGATCATCCAATTTTTACGTATGGGTGGTCCTCTGTAGCTCAGCTGGTAGAGCACGGCGCTTGTAACGCCAGGGTAGTGGGTTCGATCCCCGGGACCACCCATACGTAAAAATGTATGCGCACATGACTGTAAGTCGCTTTGGATAAAAGCATCTGCTAAATGGCATATTATTATTATTTATTATAATAGGCTTTGATTAAATGTCCAATATCCTCGCCCACGTGGACATTCTGTAAGAGTAATGTGTATACCAATTATTTGATAGTCTGACCGCATTCTGTCCCCTATCAACACTTAACTTTCGGTGCCAGTGAAAATGACATAAGAGAGTAGTCAAGACGACTAGCTTGATTGAGTCTCCGCCTATTCTGGCTCGTTGCTAGAGCAAGGCCTTCATAACACTGTAGTCTGGCTCGTTGCTAGAGCAAGGCCTTCATAACACTGTAGTCTGGCTCGTTGCTACAGCAAGGCCTTCATAACACTGTAGTCTGGCTCGTTGCTAGAGCAAGGCCTTCATAACACTGTAGTTTGGCTCGTTGCTACAGCAAGGCCTTCATAACACTGTAGTCTGGCTCGTTGCTACAGCAAGGCCTTCATAACACTGTAGTCTGGCTCGTTGCTAGAGCAAGGCCTTCATAACACTGTAGTCTGGCTCGTTGCTAGAGCAAGGCCTTCATAACACTGTAGTTTGGCTCGTTGCTACAGCAAGGCCTTCATAACACTGTAGTCTGGCTCGTTGCTACAGCAAGGCCTTCATAACACTGTAGTCTGGCTCGTTGCTACAGCAAGGCCTTCATAACACTGTAGTCTGGCTCGTTGCTAGAGCAAGGCCTTCATAACACTGTAGTCTGGCTCGTTGCTAGAGCAAGGCCTTCATAACACTGTAGTCTGGCTCGTTGCTACAGCAAGGCCTTTATTCCGTGAATCCCTGATGCAGGTCCAGTTTGTCTAATATGTACATTTCAGAGAGATGCAACATGGCAGACTGGCAGGGTCAGAGGCAGGGAGGGAGGGTGAGCGGCATGGAGGGTGGGTGAAATGCAGGGGGAGGGTCAGAGGCAGGGAGGGAGGGAGGGTGAGCGGCATGGAGGGTGGGTGAAATGCAGGGGGAGGGTCAGAGGCAGGGAGGGACGGTCAGAGGCAGGGAGGGTCAGTGGCAGGGAGGGTGGAAGGAGGGTGAGAGGCAGGGAGGGAGGCAGTGAGGGTGAGAGGGGGGAGGGTCAGAGGAAGGGAGGGAGAGAGGGAGAGAGGCAGGGAGGGTCAGTGGCAGGGAGGGAGGGTGGAAGGAGGGTGAGAGGCAGGGAGGGAGGGAGGGAGGCAGTGAGGGTGAGAGGGTGGCAGTGAGGGTGAGAGGAGGGAGGGTCAGAGGAAGGGAGGGAGAGAGGCAGGGAGAGAGAGGGGCAGGGAGGGAGAGAGGGTGAGAGGGAGGGTGAGAAGCAGGGAGAGAGGGAGGGTGAGAGGGAGGGTGAGAAGCAGGGAAGGAAGCGGAGACGAAGGTAGGGTGAGAGGGAGGGTCCTAGAGTTGAACCAGCAGGCCTGTGGGCTGGGAAAGGATCATGGAGCCCTCCCAGCAGTGACGGTGCCATGCCAGGGACGGACAGCCAATCGCAGGGACAGCCTCCCAGGGACAGCCAATAGCCACTGATTCCAGACAGCCTATAGAAGCGCTGAAAGGGTGGGACTTCCAGTTCAGTCGAACACTGAACAGGACACCAGTGAAACTTTGTTATGGACTCACCTAACACATACAATGATTGTCTAGATTGAATGTTTTGTCTAGGATTTTGGGGGGAGTGAGCATTGATTTCTGGATGAGACATTGCACAAAACTATAGTATATTTGGTGGATTGTTCAGTGTCATACTGAACACACAAAAAAAAGTATGTTTTGCTTATAGCTGCAATTTGTAACTTGTTGGGCAACCTGACCAAATTCACATACAAATGTAAGTTGTAGATCTGTCATTCTCATTGAAAGTAAGTCTAAGAGGTGGTATATATGTTCTATGTGGTCCTCTGTAGCTCAATTGGCACGGCGCTTGTAACGCCAGGGTAGTGGGTTCGATCCCCGGGACCACCCGTACATAAAATGTATGCACACATGACTAAGTCGCTTTGGATAAAAGCGTCTGCTAAATGGCATATTATATTATTATTATATTATTCATAGTGAGTTCCTGTGCTTTCATTGCACTTTCAGTTACACTGTGACCAAGAGACAATACAAGTACTTTTATGTACAGCCCTCCTTGATTAAGAACTAAATGCCTGAGAAAGAGAGACTGCAGCAAAAAAAAAAAAAGTATATTGTATCTAGTTATCTTGGATACCTAATTACGTGTCTACTGTTTTAATTCCTGGAGTTTTAGTTAGGTCAAGTCGTGCAAAATGTCGATCTGACCTTGCATGAACTTTGGGTAAATGCACGGATTGCAATGTTAAACGTTGTTTTTGTGTCGAGTAAATTTATAGGAAGGCCCGGCCTTATCCAAGTTCTCACTTGATAGGCTACTAGTTTTGCGCTTGCCTGGTTAACATGGCTAACTGGCAGTAGCTTGTTCGCCATCCATCACAATTATCCAAGTTCGCGAAAAGGTTCGTTAAGATTCAGACAAGTATAAGTCTCTGCTAGTAGTTGACAGCTCGCTAGATAACATCCATAACACTAGCTTGCTAGATAGCAAGGTAAACTAGCCAGCCAGCTACATTTGGGAGGAAAAGCACCGAGCGGCCGGCTAGCTAACTTACCCCAATGTGGAACCTGAGTAGGGCCAGCCGGATACAATGGACCATGCACACCGGGGGAAGGAACCAGACCTTCGGCGGAGGGGTCCCCTTATTCTGGATGTGGCTGACAATCTGCTGCGCCGTCTGTCTCTCGTTCACCTGTCGTTTGACCCACTCGTGAAGACGGCCCTTCTCCATGGCGCCATTGAAGCACACCAACAGCTCAATGTTACCGTTGAAGCAGGCCTTGGCGAGGGCGGCCAGGTACCCAAGCATGTGGTTCCACTGCCCGCCGCTCACCCAGTCGGTGTAGAAGCCCCCATAGAGCCGGTGGAGGCAGTTCTCCGCGTCAACCAGCAGCCGTAGCGGGCTCTGAGGTGGTCTCTGCCTGCCTCCTCCGACGAGACTGCCCCGGGCTAGCTTCTGGAGCTCCACCGGTACCACGGCAGTAGGGCAGTGCTTTTCTATGTATTCTTGGAAACCTTGCACACCCATGATGACTGTCTTTTAAAAAAGAGCGATTGCAACCAAAAACTGTTTAAAAACCGAGTAAAATAGCTCAGTAAAACTGGAGAAGAGAGAGAGGGGGGGGGTGGTTCCAAGTTGCTAGCTAGCTTCTCTCCCCGTGACAGTTAAAACCAATTGTATGTCTAAGGCAGTTGTTGCAATGGTTGAATCCAAAATAAACGAAATCGGGTTGCCACTGATGCATGAACTGTTTTTTGGTGATTTATTTTTTTGGTTCATGGTTAGCCGCCGCCGCCATGTGCCTTCTCACAGAGCCATATCTGTGGATGTGTGTCGGTCTGTGGCAGAGAAAGAAGCCCGGTGACGCAAGGACACGTACCGCCGTGCCCCAGAGAGAGGAGGAGTCCGTGGGTATGAATGACAACCTGTTGTTCCTAGCCATTCAAATGAAAGCAGGGTGGCAAAGGAAGGATTTTCATGTCAAATCCATTAAATATGGGGATACATGACAACCGCACACAGAGCAAACATGGTGAGAAATAGGTTCTGAAGTTGCCCACACAGATAAGCTTTCCTGTCCTGTAGAGTATTTATTGTGGCCCAACTCCCAAAGGATACACTGTTCTGGTCTATTCATGTCAACCAGGTATGGGGCAGGCAGGCAATCTCTCTCCAAAAACAGTTTATTGTTGAGGGACTCGATACCACCTGAGGGCGATAGAGTTCTAATGTGTTGTCTGTCTGTTGCTGTGTTTTGACTGTGTTGTCTGTCTGTTGCTGTGTTTTGACTGTGTTGTCTGCATAATGTCTGTTGCTGTGTTTTGACTGTGTTGTCTGCATATTGTCTGTTGCTGTGTTTTGACTGTGTTTACATTTTACATTTTAGTCATTTAGCAGACGCTCTTATCCAGAGCGACTTACAGTTAGTGCATACATTTTTTTTCTTCTTCATACCCCCTGTGGGAATCGAACCCACAACCCTGGCGTTGCAAACGCCATGCTCTATCAACTGAGCTACATCCCTGCCGGCCATTCCCTCCCCTACCCTGGACGACGCTGGGCCAATTGCACGCCGTCCCATGGGTCTCCCGGTCGCGGCCGGCTACGACAGAGCCTGGTGTTGTTTTGCATATTGTCTGTGTGTGTTTTGACTGTGTTGTCTGCATATTGTCTGTGTGTGTTTTGACTGTGTTGTCTGTGTGTGTGTTGTCTGTGTTGTCTGTGTGTGTGTTGTCTGTGTTGTCTGTGTTGTCTGTGTGTGTTTTGACTGTGTTGCTGTGTGTTTTGCTATGATACAAAATGGTCAAAACAGGACTGTAACACAATTACCTTTCTGATCCTTAGTATACAGTGGGGAAAAAAAGTATTTAGTCAGCCACCAATTGTGCAAGTTCTCCCACTTAAAAAGATGAGAGAGGCCTGTAATTTTCATCATAGGTACACGTCAACTATGACAGACAAAATGAGGGAAAAAAATCCAGAAAATCCCATTGTAGGATTTTTTATGAATTTATTTGCAAATTATGGTGGAAAATAAGTATTTGGTCAATAACAAAAGTTTCTCAATACTTTGTTATATACCCTTTGTTGGCAATGACACAGGTCAAACGTTTTCTGTAAGTCTTCACAAGGTTTTCACACACTGTTGCTGGTATTTTGGCCCATTCATCCATGCAGATCTCCTCTAGAGCAGTGATGTTTTGGGGCTGTCGCTGGGCAACACGGACTTTCAACTCCCTCCAAAGATTTTCTATGGGGTTGAGATCTGGAGACTGGCTAGGCCACTCCAGGACCTTGAAATGCTTCTTACGAAGCCACTCCTTCGTTGCCCGGGCGGTGTGTTTGGGATCATTGTCATGCTGAAAGACCCAGCCACGTTTCATCTTCAATGTCCTTGCTGATGGAAGGAGGTTTTCACTCAAAATCACATGATACATGGCCCCATTCATTCTTTCCTTTACACGGATCAGTCGTCCTGGTCCCTTTGCAGAAAAACAGCCCCAAAGCATGATGTTTCCACCCCCATGCTTCACAGTAGGTATGGTGTTCTTTGGATGCAACTCAGCATTCTTTGTCCTCCAAACACGACAAGTTCTATTTTGGTTTCATCTGACCATATGACATATGACATTCTCCCAATCCTCTTCTGAATCATCCAAATGCACTCTAGCAAACTTCAGACGGGCCTGGACATGTACTGGCTTAAGCAGGGGGACACGTCTGCACTGCAGGATTTGAGTCCCTGGCGGCGTAGTGTGTTACTGATGGTAGGCTTTGTTACTTTGGTCCCAGCTCTCTGCAGGTCATTCACTAGGTCCCCCCGTGTGGTTCTGGGATTTTTGCTCACCATTCTTGTGATCATTTTGACCCCACGGGGTGAGATCTTGCGTGGAGCCCCAGATCGAGGGAGATTATCAGTGGTCTTGTATGTCTTCCATTTCCTAATAATTGCTCCCACAGTTTATTTCTTCAAACCAAGCTGCTTACCTATTGCAGATTCAGTCTTCCCAGCCTGGTGCAGGTCTACAATTTTGTTTCTGGTGTCCTTTGACAGCTCTTTGGTCTTGGCCATTGTGGAGTTTGGAGTGTGACTGTTTGAGGTTGTGGACAGGTGTCTTTTATACTGATAACAAGTTCAAACAGGTGCCATTAATACAGGTAACGAGTGGAGGACAGAGGAGCCTCTTAAAGAAGAAGTTACAGGTCTGTGAGAGCCAGAAATCTTGCTTGTTTGTAGGTGACCAAATACTTATTTTCCACCATAATTTGCAACTAAATTCATTAAAAGTCCTACAATGTGATTTTCAGGATTTTTATTTCTCAATTTGTCTGTCATAGTTGATGTGTACCTATGATGAAAATTACAGGCCTCTCTCATCTTTTTAAGTGGGAGAACTTGCACAATTGGTGGCTGACTAAATACTTTTTTCCCCCACTGTACCTCATATTCAGAACACAGACCAAAACCATTGAAGCAATATAAATGTTTTAATTTTTTTTTATCTCATTAAGCTGTGATTTAAAAACAATTCTTTCCAACTATTTAATAATCTCAATCATATTTTAAGATCAGGAATGCACTAAATGGTATTTTGAGAAGGCTATGTACATACGGTTGTAGAGGGATGTCGGTTAACTGGGTTGGTACAGAAACAGTGAAACAGAATACAGTCAAAATATTATACTACAATATTCAGGCCATTGATATTGAAGTCAATTATACAAGTAATAACATATCCCTATGGTATACATGTCACATACGATTACATACAATGTCTTGGTAAATACATTTTAGATTTGGCTTGATCAATTTCCATCTTAAATGTGCAATTCGTTTTTATTAGTCTGCATGTCCTCTGGGGAAATGTTATTTGAGGTCCTTTTTCCAATAACACGAATGGCACAATGGTTGCAGAGCGGGCCAGTCTCCCTAAAAGGCGCTGCATGGTCACCTCCCGAGTGGCGCAGTGGTCTAAGGCACTGCATCGCAGTGCTAGCTGTGCCACTAGAGATCCTGGTTCGAATCCAGGCTCTGTCGTAGCCGGCCGCGACCGGGAGACCCATGGGGCGGCGCACAATTGGCCCAGCGTCGTCCAGGGTAGGGGAGGGAATGGCCGGCAGGGATGTAGCTCAGTTGGTAGAGCATGGCGTTTGCAACGCCAGGGTTGTGGGTTCGACTCCCACGAGGGGCCAGTATGAAAAAATTAAAAATGCATGTATGCACTCACTAACTGTAAGTCGCTCTGGATAAGAGCGTCTGCTAAATGACCAAAACATTTTTTAAATATTTTTTTTAGGATGATACAGCCTCTGCAGAAGTCAGGGCATTCAGACTTCTTGCACTTCGCAGAGCAGTTGAGCAGACCTGTTGTGAAGGAAGTTATCAAGGAAGTGAGTTTGTCTTTATACAGGACCTCCCGCCCTCACGTACCGTCAACCAATCATGTCAATGCGGCGCTATACGGAGCCCTCCGCATTGTTAACAAATTTGGCCGGCGTACGGCGATGCAGTACGGAGCTCAATTTGGCCTCTGCATGCATCCAGAGGCTCCGCAATTGCATCACACCATCCATACGGCACCTCCGACCACGTTTTCAGATCAAGCATAAATTGGCTTTTAGAGCTCCGGTGACTAGGAAACTACAGACAAACATGGACGTCGGCTGTGGAGCTGTGGAGCAACCTGCTGCGTGTTGATGAACGGTGCAGATTCAACACTATGGCAATGTTCTGTGGTCAGAGGGGAGAGGACAGCTTTTAACTGTTCATCAGCACTGTCTGTTGCGTCCTTAAGATAAAGGTCTGTCTCTAGACTATAAAATAAGAGTCTGTCTCTCTCAGAGGTCCAGAGAGATCCTGAAGTGCTGTGCTCTCTGAGCCAGCTCCTTGGCAAAGTCCTGGGCCTCCTGCAGAGGATGTCTCTCAGGGTAATGCAGCGCGGCCTTCTTGGTGGCTATTGCCAGCTGCTTTAACAGGGCACACAGGTGGTTGGACTTACACAGCAGGACCTGGCTCTGGCTCTGGCTGGGCCCCAACCCTGACTCCAACACCGACCCAGGCTCCCCTCTCTGGGCCTCTCGGCACAGCGTGTCCACCAGCCGCTTGCCTACCATGATGACCAGCTTGCTGTGGGAGATGAACTTCTCCGGGGGCTGGCTGTCCAGCAGGCTGGTGATGAGCACATCGATTGCCTTCTGCAGTGCCCCGAAGTACAGCCGGCAATGTTCTGACACGGTGGGCTGTCTCTTAGGGCTGTCTACCTGGGAGTTAAAGGACTTCGCAGGGCTAGGGGTGTCAGAGACGTGGGGCTCAGACTGAGAGGGCCTCCTAGCGGACAGGGAGCCCTGAGGCTCAGAGGTCCTCCTGGGGGCGTCACCAGAGTCAGACACGAAGGGCTTCCTAGGGGACAGGGGTTCTGAAGACCTCCTAGGGCCGTCCACACAGACCTGGGGCTCCTGGGGGGAGAGGAAGAAAGGAGGGGGGTAGGGGAGGAACAAGAGGGGAAGAGGGAGGGAGGAGGGAGGTGGAGGGTTAGGAGGGAGTAGGAGTAGAGGGAGGAGAGGGAGGGAGGTAGGAGGGAGGAGGGGGAGTAGAGAGGGGAGGGAGAGTAGGAGGGGGGAGGGGAGGGAGGTAGAGAGGGAGGGAGGGATGGGAGGAGGGGGGGGTGGAGGGGAGGGAGGTAGAGAGAGGGGAGGGTAGGTAGGTGGAGGAGGAGGTAGAGGGGGAGGAGTGAGAGGGGGAGGTTGAGAGGTGGAGGGGGAGAGGAGGGAGGTAGCAGAGGATGGGAGGGTAGGAGGGAGGTTAGGAGGTAGATGATTTTAGTGGGGGATGGGGGAGGGGGTAGGAGTGGTGTAGGGTTAGTGGGTGGGGCGGATGGTTGTTAGCGAGGGGGAGGGCTAGTAGAGGGTGGGGGGAGTTGATAGGGGGGAGCTTCTGAGGTAGAGAAGGGAGGTTGGTCTCGAGAGGTGGGGAGGGGGTAGAGGGTCGGAGGTAGTGTTGGGAGGGTCGTGTTTTGTTAGATGTTTTGTGTGGGGGGGGCATGGTTGAGGGGGAGGGATCTTGGTCAGAGGGGGCGGAGGTTAGAGTGGAGGACGGAGGAGGTTAGAGAGAGAGAGGGTATAAAGAAAGATGGTTAGTTAGACAGACAGACATCCTGTTCCCTCAGGGGAATCTCACCAGTAGAGGAAGAGAAATAAAGCTGAAGCTTCCCAGGCAGCCTGTAATTATAAGGTACGCTGCTAATATCTCCACCACTAATACCTAGCTCCCACTGAGGAGCGCAGGAGCTGCCGTGTGTTGGACAGTCTACAGTATTTGAGGCTTTTCTGTGAGTTTCAGTACTTGACTATAAGAAATGCATTCCTCTGAGCAGCGGGAAAGTCTCACCTTAGGCTTGATGGAAGTGATTTTGGGTTTCTGTTTTCCCAGGACTTTAATTTGTTGTTTTTCAAACTCTTTCTTCATTTGAAAAAGAGAGCAATGCTTTACTTTCAATTTTCTACATCTGGATCAAGATACAGCATTATGAATGGGTGTTATATCAAGCTGTGCCTTTGAAGTCTATAGAAATATAATGACCCTGTAAAGGCTGTTTTACAGTTGTCAAATGGTCTACAGACGTGTTAGACCAAGTAGAAACCAGCCTTAAACTAGTAAAGAGAAAGCTTTATTTGTACTTTTCTAAATCAGGATCAAGATACAGAACTATGAATGTGTGTCATATCAAGCTTTGCAAATCTTCAGATATATAATGGTCCAGATAACCAATGACTAACCTGTACCTGGATATATAATGGTCCAGATAACCAATGACTAACCTGTACCTGGATATATAATGGTCCAGATAACCAATGACTAACCTGTACCCTGGATATATAATGGTCCAGATAACCAATGACTAACCTGTACCTGGATATATAATGGTCCAGATAACCAATGACTAACCTGTACCTGGATATATAATGGTCCAGATAACCAATGACTAACCTGTACCTGGATATATAATGGTCCAGATAACCAATGACTAACCTGTACCTGGATATATAATGGTCCAGATAACCAATGACTAACCTGTACCTGGATATATAATGGTCCAGATAACCAATGACTAACCTGTACCTGGATATATAATGGTCCAGATAACCAATGACTAACCTGTACCTGGATATATAATGGTCCAGATAACCAATGACTAACCTGTACCTGGATATATAATGGTCCAGATAACCAATGACTAACCTGTACCTGGATATATAATGGTCCAGATAACCAATGACTAACCTGTACCTGGACACTGTCATGATGATCTGTTCCTGAGTCTTCTCCCTGCTCTGTCCTCTTCTTCACAAACTGACTGGTAGAGGTACTGGTATTATTGCTGGTACTGGGTCCGTCTGCCTCTCTCTTCTCTGTGGGTCGGAACAGCAGCTTGGCGTTGGCATTGACAATGGACACCAGTCTCTTGACGTCCTCGGGGACGGTCCTGGTTACCCTGACGAGGCAGTCCAGCTGGTCTGGGGTGTGGTTCTGAGCGGGATCCTGGGCCAGCAAGGAGAGGGGCCAGCCGGCGACGCCCAGGGAGCTGACGGCCTGCTGCAGGATGATGCCGGAGTCCTCCAACACAGAGAGCTGGCGCTGGAGACGCGCCTGCAGGTTGGAGTCAGTCAGGCGCCGGGCATTACCTTTCACATCCAGTGCAAAGGTCAGGAAGGAGGTCACCGACCCCGCCACGCCCTCTGCTGCAGACCTGGAGGTGGTAGTTGGGAAGAATTAGTGGTAACACTTGTTTTGGATATGGTAGTCCCAAATAGATGGCTTGTGGATGTTCAGTAGATGCTCAACTAACTGTCCACTTTAATACAGCACGTTTCAGACCTTAAGAAGAATAACCTTATTTATATATATAATACTGTACATAAAGGGATTCCTTAAGGCACCATTTTAGGGACTGTTTTGTTCACTGGTCAGAATATTAACAAGAATCATTACTGATCTCATTCTCCACAGACCTGATCTCCGTGAGGTGCTTTCCCAGGTGATCCCTGCTCCTCCAGCGAGAGGAGACGAACTCCATGAGACGCGGCACCTCCCTGCACACCTCCTGCTGTAGGAGGTGCAGCCTGCGACACGCCTCCTCCTGGCTCAGACACACCTCCCGCTGCGGCTCCGGGGAGGAGGAGCACAGCACCAGGGAGTCGGAGGAGGAGGAGGAGGTGGAGGAGGTGGAGGCTGTGCTAATCCTCTGTTTGTCTGATGTTGACCTTCTTCCTCTCTCTTCATCCTCTTCCTGTAGCAGAGTGTCTCCCCTACCAGCCACTAGCCCCAGACGGCCCCTCTGCAGCCTGCCCTGGGGGTTGGGGTGGTCGTAGGTAGGGCCAGAGTTCCCCCGACACTCCAGTGGGACATGGTGTCCTCGCTGGGGGACGGAGACTGAGAGCTGCTCCCGGGGGGGGACAGCGTACACACAGCGCTCCTCATCCGTCTGCCTCTGCCCTGGGGGTCTGTTGTAGAGAGGAGCCCTGGGGAGGACCCTGGGGGGGGTGGGGGGGTCCTGGGACCCCTGGGGAGAGGATCTGGGTTTGGGGATGTCGTAGAAGGACTGAGCAGATCCACAGCCCTGACCAGACCAGTTACGGGTCAGAGTGTCGTAGAGCTGGCTGGCAGAGCTCAAGTCCTTGGAGGGCAGGGTGGTGTAGTTCCCAGGCTGGCCACCAGATGGCAGGTGTGTGTAGTACCCAGACTCACCACCAGGCTTCTCAGGAGAGCTGGGCACATCGTAGATCCAGTTTGACTTGCTGGGTTTAGGGAGGGTGCTGTAGCTGCCATGCTGTCTCTGGGGGCTGGTTAAGGGATTGTAGCCTCCGGCCACTAGCCTCTGCTGGGTGTCTGAGGCCGGAGGGCCGGAGAACGGGATAGGGATGTCATAGCTGGGGTCCGGGACCACCGGGGGAGGCACAACATAGACCTGGAGGGGTGGGGTGGGGGGGGGGGACAGGAAGTGAAAGGTGAGTATAGATCACGATGTTACAGTATGTAACACCATATAGGAACTAGAACACTAAAGTGGAAAAGTCAGAGATTACGTCATAAAAGAGACCAGGAAGTACACGTGTCATTCAGGTCCATTTACTGGGAGTTGATTTGTCTCTCCCAGTGCAGATGTTCATGGGTTGCAATGTTTCGTCACAATATGTTTTGAAGGTTCTCTTGAGGACCGAATGAACATTGACAAAAGGTGAAGATTTAATCAAAACACGATGACATTTAAAATGGAGACTTCATTGGTAGGAAAACCTTCTGTGATCATTGAGATGTCGCTAGATCGACTTTAGATGCAGTAAGATTGTAGCCTCGTAATTACCAGACTGATTACTGTAGCGAAACAGAGTGTAAGCTTGCGAGATCAGTCTGGTAATAACGAGGCTAGTAAGATTGAGGGGATTGCTAGCTATTTTTGACATACATTGTCCAGGCTGGGACTGGGGCTGGGGCTGCAGCGCCCCCTACTGCCCAGGGTGTCAAACTGTCTCTCCAGCTCATAGGTTGCCATCGACGACGCCGTCTGGGTCAAATGTTGCGGTGTTGTTGATGCCTGTCAATCATTCACACAGTGGTCTATTAGACACCACAACTCAATGTCTTCATGCAGATAATGTACATAAACTGTTGGTACACATTTGTAACAAGTCACCAAGCATGGAAACAGATAGATACAGTCAAGCAGAGCAAAATGAAAGGGATGAGAGAGGACTCACAGGAGAAGGACAGGGAGGGAGAGGAGAGGATGAGGAGAGGAAGCGAGGAGGAGGCAGCGAGAGGAGAGGGATGAGGATGAGGAACGAGGAGGAGGAGAGGGGAGGAGAGGAGGAGGAGAGACAGAAGCGAGAGGAGAGGAGAGGAGAGGACGAGGAGAGGAGAGGAGAGGAGAGGAGAGGAGCAGGAGAGGAGAGGAGAGGACGCAGGAGAGGAGAGGAGAGGAGAGAGAGAGGAGAGGGAGGGAGAGGACAGGGAGGAGGGAAGGAGAGGAGAGGCGAGTTTGAGTGAGGCGGAGAGGAGAGGGGAGGAGAGGAGAGGACGAGGGAGAGGAGAGGAGAGGAGAGGAGAGGAGAGGAGAGGAGAAAAAGACTTACAGGGAAGAGAGAGGCTCGTCTAACAATGCCGGGGACATCATATACCTCTCCCTTGTAACAGCCAGAGAACACACTGCTGACAGATGCCTGCAAACAACAACATTACACCATTCATATAATACTATTGGCCGGTTCCCAGACACAGAGCCTAGTCCAGGACAGTACTATTGGCCGGTTCCCAGACACAGAGCCTAGTCCAGGACAGAGCATTCTTAATGGAAAGAGGTTTTTAGTCCAGACTAGGTTAAATCGGTGGCGGGGAAACCAGCCCCAAGCAGGAGAACACAGAACAACACAACACAGAGAACAACACAACACAACGCAGAGAAAACACAGAGAAACACAACGCCGATGAACAACACAACACAGAGAACAACACAGAACAAACAGACAACAACACAGAGAACACCCACAAACACAACCACAAAGCAGAGAAACAACGCAGAGAACAACACAGAGAACAACAACAACACAGTGAGGAACAACACAACACATATAACAACACATATAACAACACATAACAACACATACAACAACACATATAACACCACAACACAACACAACTCATATAACAACACATATAACAACACAACTCATATAACAACACAACTCATATAACAACACAACTCATATAACAAGCTCATTGACCTCCTTTGTCACTGTGTCTCCATGGCACCCTAGTCCCTTTATAGGGCTCTGGTTAAAAGTAACACTTTATATAAGGAATAGGTTCCTATTTTATATGCAGCCTATGTCTTTATGTGCTTGATGGATGTTTTCTCCTGTTTTCTCCCAAAATACCCAGAGAGAGAGAGGCACAGACAGGTCCACATCCACATTACACCATGACAGTAATGAGCACTGCTCTGTTCACACACACACTGCAGCCTGTAAACACACAGACAGACCCCACTAACTGACTCCAGGAGACCCCAGAGAGAGAGAGAGAGGTGTTTGTGAGCGTGTAAGTCTGTGTGTTTGTGTGTGTGTGTGTGTGTGTGTGTGCGTGCGTGCGTCTGTGTGTGTGTGTGTGTGTGTGTGTGTGTGTGTGTGTGTGTGTTTGCAGGCTCATAAAGACTAAAGCTGCATGCCGGTCTCCACAGAGAGACGCAGCTCCCCATCTGGTAACACTTTGGCCAGCGGGGGCTTCAACCTCTAACCCTACCCCCCTAACCCAGACCCCAACCTCTAACCCCCCCCTACCCCCCTAACCCAGACCCCAACCTCTAGCTAGCTACCCCCCTAACCCAGACCCCAACCTCTAACCCTAACCCAGACCCCAACCTCTAGATAGCTACCCCCCTAACCCAGACCCCAACCTCTAACCCTACCCCCTAACCCAGACCCCAACCTCTAGATAGCTACCCCCCCTAACCCAGACCCAACCTCAACCCTACCCCCCTAACCAGACCCCAACCTCTAACCCTACCCCCTAACCCAGCCCCAACCTCTAGATAGCTACCCCCCTAACCCAGACCCAACCTCTAACCCTACCCCCTAACCCAGACCCCAACCTCTAACCCTACCCCCACAACCCAGACCCCAACCTCTAACCCTACCCCCCTAACCCAGACCCCAAACCTCTAGATAGCTAACCCACCTAACCCAGACCCCAACCTCTAACCCTACCCCCCTAACCCAGACCCCAACCTCTAACCCTACCCCCCTAACCCAGACCCCAACCTCTAGATAGCTACCCCCCTAACCCAGACCCCAACCTCTAGCTAGCTACCCCCTAACCCAGACCCCAACCTCTAACCCTACCCCCCTAACCCAGACCCCAACCTCTAGATAAGCTACCCCCCTAACCCAGACCCCAACCTCTAGCTAGCTACCCCCCTAACCCAGACCCCAACACTCTAACCCTAACCCCCCCTAACCAGACCCCAACCTCTAGATAGCTACCCCCCAACCCAGACCCCAACCTCTAGCTAGCTCCCCCCTAACCCAGACCCCAACCTCTAGATAGCTACCCCCCTAACCCAGACCCCAACCTCTAGCTAGCTACCCCCCCTAACCCAACCCCAACCTCTAGATACACCCCCCTAACCCAGACCCACCTCTAGCTAGCTACCCCCTAACCCAGACCCCAACCTCTAACCCTACCCCCCTAACCCCAGACCCCAAACCTCTAGATAGCTACCCCCCAACCCAGACCCCAACCTCTAGCTAGCTCCCCCCCTAACCCAGACCCCAACCTCTAGCTAGCTCCCCCCTAACCCAGACCCCAACCTCCCTAGCTAGTCCCCCCTAAACCCAGACCCCAACCTTCTAACCCTACCCCCCTAACCCCAGACCCCAACCTCTAGATAGCTACCCCCTAACCCAGACCCCAACCTCTAGCTAGCTACCCCCCTAACCCAGACCCCAACCTCTAACCTACCCCCCTAACCCCGACCCCAACCTCTAGCTAGCTCCCCCCCCTAACCCAGACCCCAACCTCTAGCTGAGCTCCCCCCCTAACCCCAGACCCCAACCTCTAGCTAGCTACCCCCCCCTAACCCAGACCCCAACCTCTAGATAGCTACCCCCCTAACCCAGACCCCAACCTCTAACCCTACCCCCCCTAACCCAGACCCCAACCCCTAACCCTTACCCCCCCTAACCCAGACCCCAACCTCTAGCTAGCTCCCCCCTAACCCAGACCCCAACCTCTAGATAGCTACCCCCCTAACCCAGACCCCAACCTCTAACCCTAACCCCTAACCCAGACCCCAACCTCTAGATAGCTCCCCCCCTAACCCAGACCCCAACCTCTAGATAGCTACCCCCCCTAACCCAGACCCCAACCTCTAACCCTACCCCCCCTAACCCAGACCCCAACCTCTAGATAGCTACCCCCCTAACCCAGACCCCAACCTCTAACCCTACCCCCCTAACCCAGACCCCAACCTCTAACCCTAACCCAGACCCCAAACCTCTAGATAGCTACCTCCCTAACCCAGACCCCAACCTCTAACCCTACCCCCCTAACCCAGACCCCAACCTCTAGCTAGCTACCCCCCTAACCCAGACCCCAACCTCTAGCTAGCTACCCCCCCTAAACCCAGACCCCAACCTCTAGATAGCTACCCCCCCTAACCTAGACCCCAACCCTCTAACCCTAACCCCTAACCCAGACCCCAACCTCTAGCTAGCTACCCCCCCTAACCCAGACCCCAAACCTCTAGCTAGCTCCCCCCTAACCCAGACCCCAAACCTCTAAACCCTACCCCCCTAACCCAGACCCCAACCTCTAGCTAGCTACCCCCCCTAACCCAGACCCCAACCTCTAACCCTACCCCCACTAACCCAGACACCAACCTCTAGATAGCTACCCCCCCTTAACCCAGACCCCAACCTCTAACCCTACCCCCCTAACCCAGACCCCAACCTCTAGATAGCTACCCCCCTAACCCAGACCCCAACCTCTAGCTAGCTACCCCCCTAACCCAGACCCCAACCTCTAGATAGCTACCCCCTAACCCAGACCCCAACCTCTAGCTAGCTCCCCCTAACCCAGACCCCCAACCTCTAACCCTACCCCCCCTAACCCAGACCCCAACCTCTAGCTAGCTACCCCCCCTAACCCAGACCCCAACCTCTAACCCTACCCCCCTAACCCAGACCCCAACCCTCTAACCCTACCCCCCCTAACCCAGACCCCAACCTCTAACCCTACCCCCCTACCCAGACCCCAACCTCTAGCTAGCTCCCCCCCCTAACCCAGACCCCAACCTCTAGCTAGCTCCCCCCTAACCCAGACCCCAACCTCTAGATAGCTACCCCCCTAACCCAGACCCCCAACCTCTAAACCCTAACCCCTAACCCAGACCCAACCTCTAGCTAGCTCCCCCCCCTACCCAGACCCCAACCTCTAGCTAGCTCCCCCCTAACCCAGACCCCAACCTCTAGCTAGCTCCCCCCCTAACCCAGACCCCAACCTCTAGATAGCTCCCCCCCTAACCCAGACCCCCAACCTCTAGCTAGCTCCCCCCCTAACCCAGACCCCAACCTCTAGATGCTACCCCCCCTAACCCAGACCCCAACCTCTAGCTAGCTCCCCCCTAACCCAGACCCCAAACCTATAGATAGCTACCCCCCCTAACCCAGACCCCAAACCCTCTAACCCTACCCCCCCTAACCCAGACCCCAACCTCTAACCCTAACCCCTAACCCAGACCCCAACCTCTAGATAGCTCCCCCCCTAAACCCAGACCCCAACCTCTAGTAGCTCCCCCCCTAACCCAGACCCAAACCTCTAGATACTAACCCCCCTAACCCAGACCCCAACCTCTAGATAGCTACCCCCCCTAACCCAGACCCCAACCTCTAGATAGCTACCCCCTAACCAGACCCCAACCTCTAGCTAGCTACCCCCCCCTAACCCAGACCCCAACCCTAGTAGCTACCCCCCCTAACCCAGACCCCAACCTCTAAACCTACCCCCCTAACCCAGACCCCAACCTCTAGATAGCTACCCCCCTAACCCAGACCCCAACCTCTAGATAGCTACCCCCCTAACCCAGACCCCAACCTCTAACCTACCCCCCCCCTAACCCAGACCCAACTCTAGATAGCTACCCTCCCTAACCCAGACCCCAACCTCTAACCCTACCCCTAACCCAAGACCCCAACCTCTAGATAGCTCCCCCCTAACCCAGACCCCAACCTACTACCTACCCCCCTAACCCAGACCCCAACCTCTAGATAGCTACCCCCCTAACCCAGACCCCAACCTCTAGCTAGCTCCCCCCTAACCCAGACCCCAACCTCTAGATAGCTCCCCCCCTAACCCAGACCCCCAACCTCTAGATAGCCCCCCCTAACCCAGACCCCAACCTCTAGTAGCTCCCCCCTAACCCAGACCCCAACCTCTAACCCTACCCCCCTAACCCAGACCCCAAACCTCTAGCTAGCTCCCCCCTAACCCAGACCCCAACCTCTAGATAGCTACCCCCCTAACCCAGACCCCAAACCTCTAGCTAGCTACCCCCCTAACCCAGACCCAAACCTCTAACCCTACCCCCCCCTAACCCAGACCCCAACCTCTAGATAGCTACCCCCCTAACCCAGACCCCAACCTCTAGTAGACCCCCCCTAACCCA